TTTGTAGTTTATTTGATCAGCCACTTGTAACCTCTTGGTTTTTTTTGTCTGGACCCAGGCAGATTGACTAGTCCAAGCCTGCAATGCCAGTTACAGGTAGCAGTTGGGAAAAGGGATGTTAACAAGATGACTTGCTTCCTATGTCTAACGCTTCTTTTAGCGGCCAGCTTCTAACCTTGTGCCAGCCAAACCCAGGTGTAAAACTCACAATTTGTTGACAGAATAGCCTAGGGTCTGTTTTGGGTTATCCTCCCCAGATAAATGGCAGGTTATTTATCTTGCATCTTCACCCTGGAAGAAGCTCAGAACAACGTCTGTTGTAAAAGTATCAACAGTTGCCCAAGTGGGCTTGAGCCGTCACCTTGTTGTATCTTACTCTCCTGTATTTTGTTCTCTTCCACCAGCTGATCTACATGATGGCTACTACATATAACTATGCTGTTTTGAAGTTTAAGAGTCGGGAAGATTGCTGCACTAAATTCTAAATTGTATAAGCCCAGTAAAGAGCTGCATTGCGTAGCTTGAAATACCACTGACACCCTAGGCTAAAAGTCTAGCTTTCTGAATTTTGTTACAGTAATTGTAAATAGCTTCAGTAAGCATCGTTTAGCTTATCAGATTAATAAAATGACTTCTTGTATATGAACTATGATGTGGATGAGATCTGGCTATTTTTTTTATGTTGAGAGGATTCAGTTACTGTAGGGGTGTTTATAAAGCATCCTTCTGAAAAGGGGATGTTTTCATTTCAAGTTTCCACTTGCTTTCTAACAGTCATCTCAAACAAATACTGGAAATAGTTCAGGGTCAGAATTATTAATTTATTCTTTAGCATGAAAGCCAAATACAAATACCCCCAAGCATACAATATATATAATGCAAAAGCAAAGGAATAATAAAGTAGTGCCAGTCTTTTTTGGCAGAGACCAGGTATTATGAATTAATATGCTTGTAGTTCCAAGTGATTCCATGGATGATGAAGTCAATTTTTTTCTCTTACTCCAAGTAATTGTCAAATCATGCTCTTTCTAGAAGAAAATATATCCTTGTCTTAGCTCTGCGTAAAACAATCACATTCTTTCTTTTGGACCCTGAACTAGTAAGCAATGGTATATAAATCGCTTCTGTTCTTGTGTGACTGCACTTTAGTAACTGATTTCTCAGTAGCCAGATCTCAAAAATGTAAGTATGACTGCACGGGAAGCAAAACCATGCATAGATCACAAGGAACTTTTTACACTGTTGGGGGAAAAAAAAAGAGAAGCGAATCAGTGTTTTCAAATGTAGATGTTTTTGCATGAAGTATGGGGAAAAAGAAGTTGGCAAGAGACAAATGCACAAACTAGAAAAAAAATCTACACAATAATTAAAAAAAGAGAACCGTTTGTTATGTAACACTCTTCACCTGAGGTTGGACAATGGAAGTTTAAAATGTAGCTATAAAAATACAGGATTAAGACTTCTTAACCCAGAGATTGCATGCTTTTGCTTAGTTTTGGACTCATACTTTGATGTTTAATTTTTCAGTGTGTTAATGTAGCCTTGTTCGCGTAAATAAAACGGTTCACAGTTTCAGGTTTTTTCCATGGGGAGGGTGGAATTCTCATCTGCTTGTTGGGGGGAAAGAGATACCAGGCTCTGGCCTTGGATATGCATAAACACCACAACCTTAGAAAGCAGTTCTTCTGAGCACCTCATAGGTTACAGATTACGTATATTGCCACGTACAAAACTGTTTTCCTGCTTCCCCCCATTCTGCATTTTAATTGATCTGTACGACTCTGTAGCTCTTTTTAATATTGTTATACTAACTTTCTCTGAATTGTGAATAACCAACTGAATTATTAGCATGCCAAATTCTAGAGATCTTTGAAAATAGCCTCTGTGCTTGTTTTAATAACAGAATGCTTATTAACGTAGAATAACTTGGTTTTTTGGTTGTTGTTTTAAAAAGCGTCTATTAATCTAACTACCAGCTTGCTTTGCCTCTTGACATGCTCACTCGCCATCATGCTCACCCTTCTCTTCCAGATCCACTTCCTCATGATACTGTCTTCTAACTGGGCCTACTTAAAGGATGCAAGCAAAATGCAGGCCTACCAAGATATCAAAGCAAAAGAAGAGCAGGAGCTTCAGGATATCCAGTCTCGGTCAAAAGAGCAACTCAATTCTTACACATAAATGTTTGCCACAGTAAATCAGCAGAAGAGTTCTGTAGCTCTGACAAATCAGCAAATAGCTGCTCTGCAGTACAGATGTGTGTCTACCAAACAAAATTAGAGAGAAGTGCAAAAGCTTCACATTCCAGCTCCTGGGACACTTTAATAGGGAAATCTTCCCATAGGTAATCTTCCATCCTTTCATACAGAGAATGGAGGGTTTATTCCAGGCATTTTAAAAGGCAACACTTTACAAAAAGCGACCAAATGATTCTTCTTTGAGACATTGGACTTGTTCTACAGCATCATGTCCTGCACCAAACCGTGGCAAGTGCTCCAAACCAGCAGGCAGGAGATCTGTGCAGACCTCAGGCACAGGCACGTGCATGGTGTGTGATTGAGTGTCTCCCAAACAAACCTGTAGCCAGCTGGGATTCCTGACGTAGGCTTCTGCTTACGTGAGGCGCAGCTGCAGCATCTCCCAAGTTGCAAGGAGGCTGTCTTGGAACGTGGGCCACAGGAGCAGCACTCCACCCTGGTGCCACACTTGTCCATGATGAAGCCGTCACGTCCCTGTGCTTACCTGAGTGTCGAGCAGATGTCCCAAGTTTTAATCTTTCTATTAACTATTTAATGGAATGTAGACCCCTGGATCTGGATAATGATCCCCTTCTTTGAAAATAAATGTCAGCTTTGCCTTAATATTTATTTTCTATAAATGTCTTAGCATTTATATAGTGGCAGGAGACCATTATCCTACATTTTAAATAAGCGAAAAGTGTTACCTTATTAAAATGACACTGATTTGACTATTCCAAATGAGCGGATGAGAAAGTTTGCAGAGTTTTACACAAACAATAAAAATTACAGCCATAAAAAATAATACAGGATGTCCACCTTTTTCTATCTTGGTGCTTAGCAAATTTATAGTCAGTGCTTATGTGTTTTCCTTTTTACAAATTAATTAGCACACTAAGAAAACGTGGTGTTCAGAAAAAAAACACAAAAGAAAAACAAACAAACTGGTGCCATTTTAAAGTCATTACCCATAGAAGTCTGCCTTCTAATTAATGTTTTTTTTCAGAAGCATTCAGTGATATCTTGAGTATTAGTGATGGTATATTTGGTGTTTGTTCTATATGATATATATATATATAATTGTTGGGGGGGGAAAAGTAAAAATACATCATTCATTTGAAAAAATTAAATATTCAAGTCATACCCCTGGCTAAGCTGATGTGTGGTTTGATAGTTCTAACTGTTTGCTGAATATACATCAAAGGAAGCACAAATTCCTTCAAATCAGTACTATGAGAAAAGGTATTTTTTGGGGGTATTAACTTCAACTATAATTTTTTTGTTAAATATTGAAGTCTAATTTGACAGTTTCAAAAAAGGGGCAAAGTTGATTGATGTAGAGCAAATATGACAAAATAGCCTAGTGTATGTTCTTACCTGTTGCATGAAGGAGACATTTCTACAGCAATGCAGGTGATGTTCTAGCCCAGTGTTTGCATAAGGGTAATAATGGAGGCAGTGTCTTAAAGCCTAATTCTTTTCTAATTCAGTGTAGCTATTACTGGGAGTTTTTGAAGTTTTGTTTAAGTAGTCTAATATTTTTATGTAAAGAGCATTAAATTTTGCTATGTATAAATTTTTGTAACCTAACAGTGAATCAATATTTTCTATCAGTGCCAAGGGCTTCCTGTAGTTACATCCAAGTGTTAAAATAAATATTTGTAGATAATAGACAACACTTGTGTATGCTTATTTGAAAACAGACCTACAGCTACTCCATGGCAGTGCATCTCTAGGCTTTTTGTCTCTATCCGAAGTGAAACACGTTGTGTTCCCTAGTCCCCGCTCCCTCCTGCAGGGAAGGGGATGCCCTGTAGGTGCACGCTGCAGTGTGGTGAGGCAGCCAGTGTGTCTAGCATGAAGTAGTGGTAGTTGTTCCAGGCCAGCATAATGCAACAAGCACTACCCGTCCCGTTCCCGACACCGAACAGGAGGAGTCTCTCAGAAATTTTGTGAAGGGCAATGTGGCTGCAACAGCAAATTAAGCAGCATGTAAAATTAAGACTAGCCACCATCTCACATTTTAGCTTCATTTCAAAAAGCAAAGTTTGTATCTGTCACGGTTTTGGTACGTTGTGTTTCAACATCCAGTGAATTCAAGACAGAGCTTTGTTTTTTGCCCCTAAATTCTGTCAAACTTGGCTTCATGTTCTTGTAGTTAGATCAAGATGAGCAGCCTCAAATGCAGTGCAAGTTGTAATATATGCTGCCACCCAAAATTACTTCATTGATAAAAACTACTGTATTTTATACTGTAAATAAAGTTTAATGATCTTGCCTATAATCTACCTACAAAATACAAAGCTTAAATAAAGATGAGTTAAATAGCATTTTTATTTTAATCTCTCCGTTCTGGGCTGGTTAATACCAACAAGGTGATACATGAGATGGGCCGCTTTTGGAAGTGGTTGCTGCCCCTGCCACAGCAGTAGAACGGGCACGTTAGTTTGAGTCTGTCACACTCGACACTCTGTGCAAGCCAAGTGTCTCCATGGGACACCTTTAAAAGCAGGTGATGATGACCAAATGTTTTGTTACCTGCACACAGTTACTTTCACCCACACATTGCACCATTTGGAGGAGAAGGGGTTGGGAGGTGGGGGTTGTCAAAGTTTCCAGGAATTCAGTGCCAAAACAAATCTACCCAAACATCCTGATCGGTTTCTGTTCTCTGCTTTGTCCTTTCTCTAACCCCACCCAAGGGCTTCCTCCTGGATTAGTGGCACATCAGGACTCACTATGTGAAGTCGATGACTGAAGTGATGAGAAGGCTCAAAATCAGCTTTATTAATTTATAATTACACAGCCTGCAATGTTAGTGCTTAACATTTATTACAACCTTTTACAGGCAAAAAGCTGCTTTAACAACATCTTTCTTATCATAATAATTAAAATTAAAAAATCAGTAGCTGTTGTTCACCAGAAGCTTTCATCCATGTCTCCATGAGAAATGTTTGCAACACTGTATTGATTATAGAGAGAGAAAGTGGTATGAGTCCAAAGTAGTTCTTGTCTTAAAACTTAAATATTAATACTCATTGTAAAAAGAGAGTAAAGAGACTGCCTCTGCTGCAATTCTCTGGATGTTTCAGGGAACTAATGGCAATATGACAGCCCTTAAGGGTGAGGATTTGGGCCTTCATTAACTGAAAGCCATTACCTATCTCTCAAAAAGCAGAACTGTCTATCTGCTGCTTCTGTAGTGCTTACCCAGTGAAAACAACACTAGTGGTGCCACCACAGGAGCACCAGGGTAGAGTCTGTTGTGTTCAACAGCACTTTAAAGGCACACATAATAATGAATCATTACTACAGTTATGGTGAGCCTTTAGGGTTTTAGGTTTTTTTGCTTATTTTCAATTCTACGTCTTCAAATAAACTGAAATACTTGATAGGAGGTTGTTTGATTTTTTTCCCTTTCGAGCAACTAAAACCTACATACCCTTATTTAGCAACACCTAGAGAAAACCAGAGGAAGTGCCCGGGCTGTTGTAACTCAGTGCAGGCAGTCAGATCTTTGAAAAAACCATATTAAAAGTCCATGATGCTACTGATTAATCAAATCTAGAGTCAGTGCTAGTAACAGACTATGGGTAAGGTGCAGCACAGACAAACCTGCACACATGGGGTCATCACCCAAGAGGAATCCCTCATCAGCTCACTGTGAAGGAATTTGGATGCTGCTTAGTTGCAGACAAAAAGTTGTAACTGCCACAGTTACTGAAACAGATCACTGAATGCAGCTCCCAGATGCCAGTTAAGCACCACATAGTGCTTAACTTGAATGTATAAGAATTGGAAGGATCTTCATTTTTCCAATATATTTGTTCTTGATTGCTAATTTGTTTTGCTTTTTAAGGAGGCAAATGTCTCTTAAGTGTAATTCATATTGCAACTATTTATTAATTTGGAGTAATAATAATAATAATTATTATGTAGTAATAGCAATTAATATTTAGGATTAATATGTAGTAGTAGAAATTATTAATACATGAGCCTCACCTGTCATCCTTTTCACTAGATAGAAGTCCCTCTGAATGTGATACTTCTCCTATTTCTTCTTTTTTTGAATCCTGGCAACCAAGAGAAAAAAACACACTTTCTATAACTGGTTCTTAAGTCAAAATGTAAGTGACTCTGTTGATAGTACCTGTATTTTTAAAACACCTACCCTATGTCTACAAATACTACATTGAATATAGAATAGTAACACTTTGGAAATTCAGATTGGGATCATGTGTGAACAAAGCATCCTGCATTTCTTTCACTGAAGTAATGTCCACCCATACCTCTTCTTTAATGTCAAATGTTCCATTTGGCCAGAATAAATTCTATTAGTTGTGTTAGTGGAACACAAACTGACCTGTGTAGATTCAAACTGTATTTAAACACAAACTAAAAATTGAGGACATTTAAGTCATAGAATCATAGAATATGCCGAGTTGAAAGGGACCCACAAGGATCATTGAGTCCAGCTCCTGGCCCTGCACAGGAACATCCCCAAGAGTCACACTATGTGCCTGAGAGTATCATCCAAACGCTTCTTGAACTCTGTCAGGTTTGGTGCTGTGACCACTTCCCTGGGAAGCCTGTTCCAGTGCCCAACCACCCTCTGGGTGAAGAACCTTTTTCTAATATCCAACCTAAACCTCCCCTGACACAACTTCAGGCCATTCCCTTGGGTCCTGTCACTGGTCACCATAGAGAAGAGATCAGTGCCTGCCCCTCCTCTTCCCCTCACAAGGAAGTTGTGACTGCAATGAGGTCTCCCCTCAGTCTCCTCCAGGCTGAACAGACCAAATGACCTCAGCCACTTCTCATACAACTTCCCCTCAAGGCCCTTTACCATCTTCGTTGCCCTCCTTTGGACACTCTCTAACAGCTTAATACCTTTCTTATATTGTGGTGCCCAAACCCGCACACAATATTCAAGGAGAGGCTGCCCCAGCGCAGAGCAGAGTGGGACAATCCCTTCCCTCAACTGGCTGGCAGTGCTTTGCCTGATGCCCCCCAGGACATGGTTGGCCTTCCTATTGTCCTAGTACCTAAAAAAACCAAACTAACAAACCCCCTGCCCAGAGGACACCAGCAACCCTTACAGAAGAAAGTTTTCAGTGTTTTTTCTTTTGGATTATCGCACTTTCTCCAATACAAATCCAAACACTCTGCTCTGCAAGTTGTTACATAAAGTTTCTAAATGAAGAAAAAACTAAAATGCGAATATTGTTTTCGTTCTAAGCATGCCTAGCAAGACACAAATTCAGTCAATAATATTTTTGGGACCATGTTTTGATGACAATCACCTTGTTTGGCAGATCCTGCTCTCTGCTTTGCTGAATTATTCTCATGTATTTTTCTAATGGATTTGGAGGAGGATCCCTTACATGATCTTCAGCACCAGAATTGCTATTCACAGATTTTACTCCCTCCTTATCTTCTTTTTCTTCATCTATTGTCATCGAGTCCTGGATATACTTAAAGACACAAAAAAGCAAGATTAAATACTGATCAGAAAAATACCTTTATACCTTAATGCCTGCATTATGTGCAGGATTTCATGTTAACCTTAGTAGGACACACCTGTCTGAACAGCATTAAACTTATCACATGCCGTTCAAGATGAAATGTTAAGCTATTGCTTCCATTCAAAAAGTGATATTCAGGAAATCCCACTCTAACCCTGTCTGGATGTCTGAGATGCTGTGGGGCCTGAGGCTGCGATGTGTGACAACTGCATGTGAACTGAAGATGATGAGCAGGCACAGACATGCAAGTTTCCTGAAGGGCCTCATTTGCTGGTGCCAAGGGTTGTGTGAGCATGTCTGATCAGTACCAACCACTGCACTGAATCAAATTAACCAATTTAAGGCTGAGGAGAGGAAGATTAAATGGTCGGGAGCAAAAAATAAGTTTTACACAGGACCTAGAAACCCAGAACACTATTTAAACACATGTTAATAAACACTATTTAAACAAAGAGTAATAAACAGATGGACATTAACATGTTCTGGTGGTGTCCCACCTGCACTGGTCCAGACCAGAAAGACAGTGAATGTATAGCTTGTTCCAATTGCCTGGTGACAGTGGCCTTCCAAGTTTGGGTCATAAAACCGTAGTTTCCAGTTACATGAAACATGGAAGGAAAAGCATCTGTTTCCAATGAAAAAGTTACTTGGCATAAGGAGACATTCTAGTGAGACTCTGGTTAATCACACAAGTACATAAAATAACTTAGCCTCTGAAACTTCCACTTCATAGAATAAAATCTATTTTTAAACAAGTGGCACACACAGCAATCCTAAAATGCAGGGCACTACAAAGCTCCATTACTTATTAAGTTACCACCTCTTTATTAAGCTTTTCCACTTCTTGCTCGCTTTCCAAAGCTTCCTGTTGTTCTCTCTCTCTCCTTTCTTCTCTTGCTGTCCTTTCTTCTAAGTTTTCCTCAACTTCTCTGTTCTGTTCTTCAATCTGTCTTTGATCCAGCATCTCTGTGAAAAATTATTTCAACATCTGTCATCTGATTTATGTAGTTCAGTAATTGCTACAAGAGCACACAAATAAGTACCAGGCTCCTGTATAACATTAATAGTAAATGAAAAACAACTGGATATACTGTTTATACATACACCAAAATTATTATTGGGTATTGGGTAATGTTTTTTCCCTGTAAACATTTTCAGCCTGATATATGACTCACTAAGAATTAAGCAGCAGAGTCAAAGCAGAGGTGAGAGAGTTGACAAGTCTATGACACTTCTCATTCCTCTCATGGGTATTCTCATTAAACCTTTGCTATCCCAAAGTCCATTTTACTATATTCTTCCATCTCTGCAATGTGGTTGGATACAATTCTTTATATTTATAAAGCAAAGTACTTAAAATCCCTTTGAAATTTATTGCGGGACACACTGCTGATGTGACCAGTGTATTTAAAGAGCAGTCTACATCGAACAGCATCAGATAGTAACAAGAGGGGTAAACTTAAGTACTGGGAATGATGAGATGCTAGAAAGGTCTTCTCTAAATAAAAATAATCATAATACTTCCATCTAGAACAATTAGAAAAGCAGCATATGCTGACTGAAATCATCCTCATCTACCCAAAGAATTAAAACAGCCTTGCGATAATAGTTCACCAACAAAGTCAAGAAAAAAGAAAAAAAATCCAGACAAGCAGTACATAAAATACTTTAAAACAAAACATTTCATGTCTTATTTCTATCAAGAGCAGAAATTTCTATCAATAGCAGAAATTATATGTAATAGTTATCCTAAAGAAAAAAAAATTCAAATCTTTGTAGAAGCTGGACGGGGGGGTGGGACAGGTGGTAAAATATTAAAATGAAATTTATCTAAAACTAGGGTGAAAAAAAGTCATCTTCATACAGAACAGCAAAAGAAAACACTCCTTCCTCATTAGTATAACATTAGCACTTTTTGGAAAATTTTTCAATCACACCAGCATACACACCTACAGACTGTTAAATATTTGGTTTTTTGATTACACATTTGACATATAAAAAACATATTTTCTTTTGTGTCTGAGCTGAGAACTCACTTAAATCTTGCAGTGAAGTGGCTGTTGCTGGCACAGGAGCTGTGACACAGTTTCCATTAACAATGTCCCCAGATGGAAGCAACGCATCACTTTCACACTCCTCTGGCACGTCCCCCTGATCTGGAGATGAAATTTGAACAATGGCTTCATTATTTTGTAATTGCAAAAGTGGAGCACAGTAATGGACACAAAGTGTGGGAATGGCTGAATTAGAACACATAAATATCAGCACTAATTGAGCATTTTCCCTTCAGCTTAACCATCTCCCTAAAGATTAAGAATTATCATAGGCATGATACAGAATTGTTAGTTTTGAAATTAGATATTGCAACACATCTGTTTATAAAGCCAAAACAGAAGAAATATGGAACACAAACCCAAAATGATTTAATTTCTTTTCATAATCAAGATACAGGTCACAGAAAAATTACTTAGCTCATCCTTTCTATGCATATAAGAACAATCTTTAATTACTGATCACACACTATTGTGAAGCTTGCCTTCTTCAGCGCACAGGATGGATGCTAACTCATATATTCTACATCATACTGTCTTCTCCCTGTGCAAAGTGGCTCTGAATTCACAAAAACACAATTACTATCCTTTCTCTGTGATCATTGCTATGATACTCAACTGCTTCTTACTTAATTGCAAAACATGCAGACTGCTACTATCTCAATTTTATGGGAGAAAGAAATAAAGAGATTAAAAAAAGTTAGATGTGGCCATTTTCTCTAGGTAGTCAACCTGAAATACACAGAACCATTCTCCCAAGCATTTAGTATAACACAGCACAGAAACCTTCCATATCTCCATAGGTTTGAGGTAAAGTTTAGAAAACATCAATATTCCATCCTTCAAATACTATCAATGTCTCAAGTATTTTTCTTTTCTACACTATAATAAAACTGAAATATTTTGCACGAAGAAAAACGAGACAACCAAACTGATGGGCCTCTCTCTCAGAATGGTTTGAATTTCTGTAAATTAAAATTCTTTTAAAGGAACTATAGATGAAAGCATCACAGAAAAATTTTGCCAATCTGTCAGTCTAGCTAATTTAGTAGAGCGTTTTCAGTTTCTTACAAAAGCAATGAAGTCCTACCAGTTTCAACCATGAAAATAAATTCTATTTTTTTTTTCTGTTTTTTTTGGTAAGACCAAAATAATGGGTTATCACACTCAAATGAAAATGTATTCTGTTTAAATTATAAAGCTATCAATAACAGCAGTATTTCCATATGAGGCACCAGTAAGCATCAAGGTATGTAATATTTAAATAGTCAAAAATTCCTTTCACAAGCAGGTCCCTGTAAAATATTATATCTATTAAATGTCTGCTAACCACATAAACAAACAAAAAGACCCAAACCAAAACCAATATAGTACAAAACATCTTTAAATTATCCTTCGGCAAAGGAAAAAAAAAGGTAAGTTTCTTTGTACGCTTTCACTCCCTTATGTAAGGGTGGGCAGTGAGAAATGACTGTTCCCTTAAGATGAGCACATCATTTAAAAGCAATTTCTGCCAACAGAATCTGCCAATCTTTTCTTGCTAGAGCTCACTCACAGTAGGGCTAAAAGACCTCCATATTTTCTGGCATCTCCTTCACTTCATCGTTTTTAATACTCTTATCATCTTTTTCCTTCATTATATATTTTTCTGTATTTAATTCTTTGATTTTACATTCTTATCCCACCCCTCCCTGCAAGTCCTCCTGAGTTACCTCCTCCCCTTTTTAGCCAGTCTGACTTCCTCCTACATACTGAGATTGTCTTTTGATGCAGTTGGACCCAACTAAAGTACTGTTGATTGAAAATCATCAGCATATGTGAACTCTCAGAACTATTGACTACCACACATCACTAAATGATACAGTAGTATCTGACTTGTGCACAGCATCTACTCAGTCCTAATTGCCAACAAAATGCCAGTCTCTTGTCATATGTAATAAAATAGAAGTGAAATATGTAATGTATTCCCCAAAGCCTCTCATACAAAATTAAACAAATAAATCTAAATCTAATTAAAATGTGAGATGAGTAGAAATCATTAATGGCTATGGGCTTGGTTCACATTCAACTAATGCACTTAAATCTTATAAAAAGGAAATTAAATGAGATAAAAGAAATATAACTGAGTACTGAGTAAAGCTTCACAGAGAAATGTGCAGATGAGGCATCAGCTTCTGCTACTTACTATCACTAACTAAACACTATCAGCACATTTGCTGTTGAAATAAACATTATCTTTTTTGGTTGTTTCATTTTAAAATACTGAAAGTTGTGTTCTCACAGGTCCAGGAGAGCAAGCAAGGGCATCACTCCACTTTCCATATGACCTAACCACAACCAAAAGAATAAACCAGTCTGGGATCAAGGAAAACACACCACTTAGAATGACTGGTTTCAAAGAAAATATCCCTAACTCTCCCATACAGCAATCACAACCTCTTCACCAATTATGAGTTTAATCATACCACACACTGCCACATCTCCACCAGTCTCAAGACGTCACAGACCTAACAAAATCTGGAAATGGGAAACGCATTTAGGTTGCTGTTTGCATCTTTCTTATTGACGACTTCATTTACTTTAAACCCACAGTTTCATGGGAGATCAAGTTGCTCAGGCCAAACATTAGGATGTCACTCAAATGCGAAAAAACTAGGAAATAAAGCCAGTAACTGTGCTTCTGTTTCTCTCTCCATATACAAATGGCTATAAAGTGCATTAAGTTTTATTATCCTCCTCTTTCTACAGTACCTTAGTTACATCAAAGATTTTTGAAAACTGACTCTACATCATACAGAGACAAGGAAACATTTTATAGCATGCAGTCCACAGAGAGTAGAAATGCAAATAAATAAAATGTTGACCTCATAGAAAAGAAAAAGGATAAAATTCAGGTTTCAGTAACTGAACCACATGTTCCAAAACTACTCAGAGATGCTGATTAATGACAGCGTAATTGCGAGAGCTCTTCACATATTTACACACAGTGTAAACCAAATTCTAATTCATAATACTATTTTAAGCCTTAGTTACTGAAGGAAAAGTCAAGACCATATGCAATGGCTGCTGAAATTTATCTTCAGAATCACAATCTAGTAATACTTTTTTTGATATTGGTCTATGGTGAACACTCCTTGGAGTTCTACTTTATGCAGTAAATATAATAAAGCCTCAATGTAGTTGATATACTAGTACACTTTTCTGTTTAAAAAAAAAAAATACACAATTTTAAAACATTCTAAAACAACTGTCCAACCTACAGTGTTAAGCAGAACAAGGTTATGAAAGATTTCTGAACAAAAAGAATGTTACAAATTTCAGAACCAACTCAACTTCAGTGTCTAGTTATTACTACATACCATTATCTAAAAATGCAAAAATGAAGAAAATTAATCCTTTGTCATCTGAGATAATTGTTTTTCTTATTTAAAAAATCAGTCAGAAATTTTTCTCTCCACCTACAGTCTTAAAACTATGAAGACAGTTGTCCTAAAGCTGTTAAGCCTCAAGGTGTTAAACAAACTGTCTGAAATGCACTAAAACTTACCTTCAAGGGAATAAATGTGTTCTTCAAGGTCCTCATACGTTAGTTTCTTAGGTTTGTGGATATCACTGAGATCTTGTTTATCTGTTTGTTGACTCTGAAGTCTGAAAGAATAAGGAAGAACATAAATAACTTAATAAATATAAATGCTGAACTTTGAAAAAAATAGCAATCTGAGATTTACTCACATGCTAAGCAACAGACTAAACCAAACCTAAAATCCATGCAACTGAAACGCTGGAACTTTCTGACTCAAGTTAGGGTATTGAAATCCATTCTCTAACTTTTACCAAAAGTCAACTCCATCTCTCTGATAGCCATCTTCCTGCAGCCTTTCCTCAAGGCCTTTATATGACATCAAGTCATTACATTAAACCAAAATACACTATCAAAAGGAGTACAAATGAGTAAGAAAAAACAACAAAAAAGGAGAAATACAATGAACTGTGACACTTAGTCAACTGAAATTAAGAAATTTGCCTTTTTAACCTCTGTGTTACAGTTTAATTCCCATTTTGGTGTCATCTGAACAGATGTGTTTGAAATGTATTAGGATTAGATGTCTGGCAAAATATAGACGCAGGGGTGAAAAAATCTGGGTGCTATGAAAAATGGGGTTAGTGCCCTCATTCTAAATCCCCGTTTATCTCATCAGAAAGATAATATGAAAGAACAATGTCTCCCATGTGACCCTGCCACTAAAGTCTGACCAGAACCAGAATGGCAAAAGGAGTGCAGGTCACTAATGAAATTCAGCAGCAGCGCTTCATAAAGGAGCTTACTTCACACCAGCTGGTGCTCTTCATCACAGCCTAAATATGTTTCTACTTACAATTTCTAAGGAATTCAGGTCTTCCACGGGGCAAAAGTGGAGAACAAACAAAACATACCCCCATAATGAGATTTGTTCATTAAAAAAAAATGTAAATCTGGGCACAAACAAATAAATTTGTATTGTCAGAAAGACAGTTTAGTGTCAGTGGGGAAAAACACCCTGTAAACTAAATAGGACAGAGTAAATGGAAGTTCAAGTTTTTGGATGTCTGTTTCATGTTTTGAGTCTTTCCTTCACAGAAATGGTTAAGTGTTAAATAATTCTTAAGGATGCAAGTTTCAAGGACACGCATGCCACTTTCTTCAGTACTGTGTCCTGCAACATTACTAGAAAGACAGAGAACCCCCTGCCTCAGTAACAACCCTCAATCAGTTTCTTTAGGCCTAAACAAACAAACAAACAAAAATTTAGACAATAATCTGCCTTATCACTCTAGTCTTCCTGTCTGTGTTTATTGGTTTCCTTCATACCACTCATATCTTGGAATGTAAATAAACAAGGAGCTTCTGTGGTCACAGAAGCAATTGTTCTTCCTCACTGACATAGGTCTGACTTCTAACGGTTTACTGGTGTTACAGGATATTTTCTTTTCAAAGAAGTTTCCATTGCCACTTAAAATCTACACGTCATAAACTAATCCCACAAATACACATCAATAATGTGGTATTTGCCTAATAATGAGAGTAAATAACTGGAAAAGCCCACACAAGCATTTCTCAAATATTTCATGTAACAGAAAACAGTCCAAGGCACAAGAAATTAAAAAAATATGCAACAAAAGAATGTTGCATTTAAGAAAGTCTTGGGAAAGCAGCAAGTCCAAGACAACTATTGGGACCTTATACCCTTGCTCTGTCATAAGAAACCCAAGAAAACAACTGCAACCCATAGCTGCCTGCCCAGACCTGGGTCTGTTCTCTGCAAAACAACTTGCTCATACTGTTCACTCCATCAGTCATCCAGAGCAGGATGGACTCTACAACACCCTTCAAAGTATTCTCCGTCACAGGATTAGAGCATTTTCCCGTATCACCTTCACAAGCAGGTTAACATTCAACCTTCACTTTTTAAGGTCTGTCACAGAAATAAAGGAAATCTCTGACATATGATAGAAAAGGTGAATGAGTAGGGAAAGGAGAGACAGCCCTAAAGGGACACTTAGGAAAGTAACCTCTCAGTCCCTAAAAATCCCAACAGCTCATTTTCAAGGCCAAGAACATACAGGCTCTCCGAAAATTCTAACCACATAAGAGAGCATCTCCACATTAAATGGATCTTGAGGCCTTGATAACAACAAAATAAGAAAGCCCTTCGAATGCCTCCTACAGCTGTCCCAGCACAAGCTGTCTTTCTTCACCCATCAAATCAGGAATGATGGCTAGCAGGTATGGTCTCTTCTTAGGAAAAAAACATTACAAGTTAAATACTTCTAATAGAAGCTTTTTCTGAAAATATATATTCAGGACTCTCAGTTTTGGAGAGTGGAGGCAACAGTGGCCATTAAGAACAGAACTTTACATATGGAAATAGGATAAACAGAGAAGAAAGACAAGTCATTTTTATGAAAATCTTTAATTTTGTCAAGTTATTTATTTACCTAAATAAGATTTAAATAAAAAAAAACAACAAAGAAAAAGAGAAAAGTTGTGCTACCCATCCCATTCCCACAAGCAAAGGAGACTGGAGGATCCTATTTTGAAAACAGGCACGTGAACAAGGTCTTCACAGAGAAAAAAAAAGTAATAAAGTTAGCATTACAGCTCATTAATGAATGAAATGAGAATGTACAATTGCCTTCATTTAAATTCCCAAACAGCCAGCAGAAATTCAAATGCTTCAATCAGCAAAAGCTCATCAGTCAGGTCACAGACGTGAAAAATAGACACAATTAAAGAGATATAGCTTCGTTCAAAGCAAACCAAAGAGTTTGCTTGGTTTTTCATAACTAAGTTCCTCTTGAGGTATGATATCCAAAAATGGAAATCCTTATCCACCTTTAGAAAAGTTTTCACTTATAAAATTAATGGCTTGCTTGATTTGTAAAAGCAGCTATCACTGTGAACAGTTAGATAAACACTTCTTTAAAAAGCAGGTTAAAAATGTTGCTTTGTAAACAATGTTACCTGATTTTCTGGGCATGACTGGATGGTGAGGAAGGAATAGACTCAGAGGATGAAAGCAGATATGGCTTTGAAATAGGAGAAAGCACCTGGTCAACACTCTGCTGTGAAGAGGTAAGGGATGAGCTCTTCATGTCTGCAGAATAAAAATCCCACAATTTATATTAGTTATTTGTCCTACCACTTCTCAGACAAGGCTGACTGTACAACACATGCATTACTGAATTGCGCAGGTACGATGACTCAAGGGCAACTAACAACCAGATCTTAACACGAACTTTCTTGTACTGGTTATTTCTCTTCTTCCTTTACCTCTCCTGTGTGGGAATTCTCCTCCACAACCCTTCTCCATCACCATATTGTTACTCCTCACGAAGTCGATCATTCTCATCACCCCATAGTATGACCATGTTCACCACAAACTGAAGCCCAACAGCAAATAACTTCTCCTATGCTGGGCCTTAGAGAAAGCACTCAGATCTGGATTTCAAGCTGTGCTTGCTAACCAGCAAAAGACAACGCTTGAGGTCTCCCAAAGGCTATTCTTCATTATCAAATTTAACCCACAGGTTTCACTTTCTACAGATTGGTGAAAGCGGGCAACAAAGAAAAGAAGAAAATACTTTAATATTCTATCCTTTTATCAACAGTTGTGAAGTTATCACAGAAAGAAACAGATAGTATGACTAGAAGTCTCGAGTTTTCTAAGAAAACAAGGTAAAAAACAAAACTGCATTAAGAAGGCTTTTAATAAAACTTGCGAAGCCCAGCACTTTGGTTAAGGTTTGTTTTGCAATTCTAATTTTCCTTTCCTGTGTAGCTGCACAGGTCTTTCATTACTAAACTACAATCTACTAATTTTCCCATAAGATATGGTTTTCACTAAATAAGCAGCAACTGTTGTTTTTCTTCTCTTTATTGATCAAAGAGTCAGTGTTTATTTGGTTCAAGGGATAGATGAAAAGCCACTATTAACACTTCCACACCTGAAGTTCTTTCAGGTGGTCATACAGAAGTGCTACCTGTTCATGGTGCACATCACATTGCAAAAGTAAAGATGCTTCAGACAACAGTTGCCCATGGATTTTTATCTCCAGGCAGCCCCTAGGCCCACACAACACAGTTGAACACCCTCTAAGGAAGATGCACACTAACGGAATGGCACTAATAGCAGACACATTGTACTCATGTACTGGCAGTACGTGTTTGTGGTGGGAACCCCTCAGCTCACCCATGTGCAATCTTCTTTATAAAATAACTTGTCAAATTTTCACATGCAGAACAAATGGACAAGAACAGCATATAGCACTTACCGCATGCACCTCTCTGCCATAATACATCCTGTATGTTAGGACACAAGTGACACACAAGTCACCTCATACAGTAATTTACTACAACCTACTACTATTTAGAAATTATCTAGGATTGACCTTACTGTTTTTCTACTAAAAGACAAATAGCTGAGATCTTTGGCTCACAGCATGCTGTCTGCAAGACTCATCAACCTTGCCCTTTTCCATCAGAAGGTATAAAGCTTGGTCAAGTAATGATCAAGTACTGATCACATAATAGGAAGCATGGGTCAGTTGGAAATCCAAACTTCTTTCTCAGTAACTGTTTCCTGATCCGGGTTACTGTCTGTTAGAGACAGAAAGCGTGAGAAAATAGAAAAGGATCCTGCCCTACTTCTAGTTGCTTTTAAAGAAATGGGCTTATTCCTTCCCAGCAGAAAGTCAAAGTTGAAATATGTCCAATGTGGGCTTGGGAAGGAAAACAGTCAAATGCATGAGCTAATTTAAAGGAAGAGGAAAAAACCGCATAATCCTTCCAGTGGCAGTTAATTTAGTAAAACAGCTGTTAGATCTGCCAACTGCAAGTATTGTAGAAGAGGACATGCTTCTTGCTTTTATTCTCCAAAGATAGGTGCTGACAGCTGAGCTGCACTTAACCTCACTTAAAGCAAAAACAAATCTCAGACTCACATGCATGGTATCTTTTACCTCTTTAAATTTACCCTCAGTTGTTCAGACTGGTTATTTTCAACAGCACTGCAAAGCTCCACAGAAGGTGTCCAGAATGACTTACAGTTTTCTAGCAAAACCACATCTGGTGTTTCAGCCATCTCTAGCATAAGAAGATAACATATATACCAGTATAAAAGCACTCAGAAGACTCTTGAAAGAGAGGTGACATACCAGTGGGAAAGTAATCTAACTGGAAGCAGACAAATCATGCTAATGGCGCGTCACCACTGAAGCTCCTGTGCTTACTGGGGCATGTACCAGCTGCAGCCTGGTTTCCTACACTACATACCACTCAATTTCTGTAACTCCTAAATCAGGTAATGCACTCTTATCCCTCTCCATAGCCAGTCAGTCTTGTGCATTAACGAAAGAACTGATCCACTGGAAAAAAAAAGAGATCTGCCATCCTGTAACTAGCCATGAAAAAGTACAAAGACAGGAAGGATTGCTAAGGTTATGCACACAACTCTAGCTTTAACATTTCCTAATTCTTCAACAAAACCCTAGTGTTATGAACGATTTTGTGTGTGTGTAGTATTAAACAAGTAGTCTGAGGATACTTTATATAGGAGCTGACAGAGAGAACTTAAAACATGAAAGACTGCTTTGGAAGTTTAACTTTCAAATATGTTTTCAGTAACAGAGCATGATACTCTACATGCAGAAACACAGGGACAGCCACAATCAATCAGAGTGTTTGTAACTCGTTTTTAACAGAGCCTGTTAATAACAAACTAAACTAAAATTGGAAAGGAGAATACCCACCCAACCTTTCCTCAATTGAGACTTTTTTGGATCCTCCTGACAGAGAAGTTTTATTTCTGCATCTGTAGTTGTTGCCACAAGAGCAATAAATTACACAACTTACGGTATGAAAAAGCACTTCATCCTTTCCTTTCAATGTCATGGGATTCTGGGGTCTGTGAAGCAGTAATTAATCGATCCCTTTTCACCTTTTCCACATCATTCATTGCTTTCCACAGCCTACCTCAGCCAACTCTCTTCCAATCAAAGCTGCCCTTGTATTTAACCTTCCTTCATGGAGAAGCTGATCGTTATCTTTTTTTTTTTTGTTACTATCTCTTTTTTTTCCATCCTATTAAATCCACTTTGAGCTAGGGTGACAAGAATTGCATCACTCAAGGAGCAGAAATACTGCAGATTTGAAACAACATAATTTTCAAAAAAAATTAAATTGCTTCTCCATTTTGCTTGCTTTTCTGTATATGGTCTTAAAAAAAAGGAAAAAAGAGACTAAGTAATTATTAGACACTGTGAAATTAATAGAAAGTTAAAATTTTTCAACCATGACTAAGCCCTTCTCCCTTACAATTGCTCAGGAATATTTAATAAAGATGTCACAGCAAAAACAACAAACAAAAGCAAATCTGGACCTTTCAGACTGCAAAGCTCAATTTAAGAGAAGCCAAAGCAGTCTTCTGCTGCACAGGTTAACCAGAACAGTTAAATGAAAAGTTAGAAATACAAAAGGGATACAATTAATGTTGCAAAGTAGTTATACTTCATAGCAACCGTTGAATGAAACTCTGCATATCATAAGGTTACACCTGCAGTGCATTATATGGCATAGTCTTCTCCTGAGAGCTACTTAAGACATGTTTAACTTCCCTCAATGTATTTCTCCAGTACTTGTTTCCAGGAATAAGCAGTACTCCAAGCAGCTAGTGTATTTTGTCTCTTGCAAAACCACAACTCCTGACTTCTGCATCTTCGCAAATAACAAACAAGGGAAAGACTAACGCTGCAAAATCTTTCTCTTCCCATAGAGCAAGAGGAACAGTACATAAAACTCCACTACTGCACCACATTAACAATCATGACTTACCATCTGGAATTTTCTTGTTACTGAGATCTCTCATGGATTTGGAAATGGGAGTAGATGAAAGGCGTCTTGACGATGATGCTCCTCTCTGTGGTGGTGTTAAGGGATTTTTAAAGATATCAGCCTGCCCAGTTCTTTTGACGTGTTCTTCACCTCTTGGACTGCTCAGAAGGGAATGTGGGAAGCTGGGATTATCCTCTACAAGTTCATGCTGGGTAGTCAAAGGGGGTCCACTAAGAGCATGCTGTAGAACTAAAGGAGACTCCATCTTTCTTGGTGTTCTGCTTGCAGCTGCATTCTGTATGACTCTGTGTTGGTAATTCCTGTAAGCTTCTTCCAAGTACTCTGCCTCTTTTGATAGCTCTTTTACTCTAGCCCAGGTTTGCGTGATGTACTCCAGGTCAGAATCCGGGGAAGCACTGCGTGGCTGTAACTGCTGGCTGTCTCTTGGCACAGCATTTACCTGCATCACATCAGTCATAACACGATTCTTCAGGAATGCACTATCCACGTAAATATCATGGGGTACAGCTCTGTCACCGGTGAAGTCAAGGACAGAGCGATCGACAAGCGAAGGTTTTGGGTTCCGATACACTTCATTTTCCAGAGCTAAATTATAGCAAGAGAAAGTGAGTGACACTAAAGAGAGAGAGGGAGACCCATAACAAAACAGAAACAGTAAAACGTGGCATTTAAATTCCATTCTGATCAAAATTATTTTAACATGGAATTGGCTTGTATTTTGAGAATTTAAGGGGTTGATTAAATGTATTTTTAATGTGGCTACAAAGCTGCAAATTAACGCTACTATTTTTTATTATATAATCCTTCCATGTAAAACTACCTTAAATACATACTTTACAATATTATTATTTAAATTATGTTTAAATAAAGAAAGAAACATGAAAACATCACCACTTTGGATACCTTATATCTAATCATGTTGTTAAAGGCTGAAGAACACAAGGCATGTCACAAGTCTTAACAGTTTCCTTCTATTTAGAACAAAAAAGAATTTTGGACAAAAACAACATAGCACACAGAAAATATTATAAGCTTGTTTTTCTTAAAGTACTAAAAAATTATCAGTTAAATTGCATGTTTGGGGCTGTCTGCTTCCTGGCTTGCACTTTTGGGCTTCAACAAGCCCAAAAGACCAATCTATAGGGTTGTTTCTTTCTCAGCAAAATTACAACCTTGTTTTTTATTGTACATAAACGGTTCTTCAATGACTTCATTAACTCTGATTTAAATAAGTCCCTGAAGTATTTACAGTCATTTAATTAAAACATATATTTGCTATTTTGACACAAACAAATTTCCAATTCCAAATGGTACTGATACTTGTACCATAAATGAAAATGTACATATTGAGTTAGTGAATAATATAAAATATTGCATATACTGAATTATGATGAAACACATTATATATAATGTATAATCATTGCAGAATTCAATTCTGTATTTTTACATTAAATATACATCCCAAAACTTTTACTTACAATACTTGATATTAGTAATTTGACAAAGGCATCTTTAGAACTACATTTCTTCAGCGGACTGAATTGCTTTATGCCTCTGTTTCTAATGCCCATACAAGATAAGTTAAGTTAGGCAAAAGTTATTAGCCTTGACAAATTCTGTCAATGAGTCCGACTTAAATTTCTGAGTTATGTAATACAATTTGATTATGCTTACTATGCACATTCAGGAATCAAAATGCATTAAACCACAACTCGCCTGCTGGAAAATGCTGTTTACATTATCAACAAACATTACTGCCTTCATACTGAGGAAAAACAGACAATAAAAATATGCAACTGTTCAGGGAGGAGAGTTTTCCCTTCCTCCTGTATATTTTTTTCTGAAAGGAAGTTTTAATGAGTTTGCTTTTTAAACTGGGCTTTTAAATAGATTTTGATTTTAAACTTTAAATCTACTTCCTGGTGGTATATAAGTTCTATGCAACTGCAGCTTTTTTAAGCTTCTGGAAATTCTTACACTTGTCCTTCATAAAGGACTGTTGTGGTGTAAGATACAAACCTGCCTGTGTTTGTTTCACTTGCAGTTTCAGTTCTTCAACCTGCATGTTTAATTTTCTGACAGTAGCTTCGGACTCTAACAGTTGGGTCTCTAGCTGGGCACAACGCTCAACCTATAAGAGATCAAGAGAAAAACAAAACCCAGCATAATTTAAAAAAAGAATAATTTCAACAGGCTGAATACTTGCTTTCTAAATGTTTTTCAGGTTCAGTCAAACCATTATCACATATCCTACTGAGAGTCAGTACTGACAACTTGTTGACGTGGAAAGATTTACTTTGGTTATGCTGGGTTGGTTTTATTTTTTGGTAGATTTTTGTGTGGTATGTGTTTTGTTTTCTTTAGAGCTGTTTACATAAAAATAAGCACTGTACAAACAATCCTTCTAACTACATGCCAAACAGCCTGCACAGGCAGATGGATGAATGTGAAAAAGATGACAGGAAGAAGAAAGGATTCAAATAATTTAAAACCAATAATTTACCTTACTTTGTAGCTGCTTTTCCAAAATCTGCTTACGACTCTCAAATTCATCCAGCACCAGCTTCCTAGAGTGCTCTACTCTCCTCAGCTCCACTTGGCAGGCCAAGTACTCTGCCGAGGGCTGGGACAGCTCTACCCAGAAAGAGAAATACGAGACACTCAGATGAGTGTGCACTGTGCACTTTTCTACATGATACCCCTTGAAAACATAAAGCTGATTTGTATTTATGAACATAATAAGGTTTTGCCTGAATAAACTACTTGGGGATTTTTTTTCTTCCTTTTACAAGGGACCAAAATTTTTGTTGGGGTAGTCATACATCTCTACTCCCCCATAATCTCAAACACACATTAAAAATACTTGGTATTTATAACTGTAGTTAGGCAAGCACTTAATAATGCCATGTTCTTTTACCATGATTAACTAATAATCAACATACTAATGCCATGGTTAGAAATATTGCACTGCTTTTTTCAAAGTGTGAAAGGAATATCCTTCATATTATAACTACCACTTAATTCAGGATTTCTACCATACAGACATATAAAAGAAAATAAACTTATGTCAAGGACTGTTTAATTTTATGCAAACATTAGCTTGGGTTTCATGCAAACAACAAGTAAACATAATACAGAGAAAGTATTTTAATGAAAATCTATTTCTAAACAAATAATTGTAGAGAAAGATAAACAAGAGAATTACTAAATCATTCACACTGACTGTCTCGGAGATGCTGGTTCTCACTGCGAGCCTCATCCAACTGTTGCCTAAGTAGTTTATTCTGCACTTGGAGCTCCAATTTCTCCTCCTTTAGCAAAGGATAGTCTGATAACTCTTTCAGTTTCTCTGTCAACAACTGATTCTGTTTATTTGCCAACAGAACCTGAGCCTTCACTGACTCCAAATCCAGCTGCAAATAAAAAACAGTTCAGGAGCTTATGAACCTCTGTACTACTTAACAATTACTTTTAGTTCATATTTTCTTTTTTATTAATGTACCTTAACTGCACCAATTAGAATACAGTTTCTTTAAATTCATATTTACAATTACCTCAAGCTCTTTCGTGCGTGATACAGCTTGCTTGAGTTCCTCCTTTTTCGAATTAACAGCAATGGCTTCTTCATGCAAAAGCATGGCTTTCTCTGCAGGGAGGATTACAAATGTTGAATTAAAATTAGTAGAGTATTACAGTAAAAAACTGTATCAGCAAAAAACAGTTTTAAGCTGCTAAGCCCAACATTCAATTTAATTCAAGACATAAAAATGACTGAATGTCATACACATTCCTTCAAAATTAAGTAAATCACACTGTGTGTATATATATATACATATGTATATACACTTCTAGAATGAAGTAAATAGAATTCATATGTGTGTGATATATCATTTCTTACAGATGTACCTAAAAGTCTAAACATGTTATCTGTTCCACCTCTCTTCCTCAAGCTCCACTTAAGCATCTTGTGCACAATAAATGCAGAAATTGGCAACCATTCAAGGGTACGGTACCAGAGTTCAGTTAAAGAGTGTGAGGTAGTAGGACTTCAGAAGGAAAGGGGAAACTGGAAAACCAGGAATGCCTTGCAGCCTCTGCACAAAGCAGCAGCTTACAGTTCCCACTGTGTTCTGAACAGCAAGGAGTTGCTGACTTGTCACTGAATCCTGCTACATCTTTTTAAAATCTGTTGTGATGGCTTTTCTGTCACTTATACCACTGTTACTGAACACCGTGACTGTTCAGTAACAATAGTGGTTTGATATTTGCTAGTAAAAGCTCTAGAGATAAACAGGTACTTTATCAATCTCAGACAGATGGTTACCTTTATTTTTTTTCTCATCTTCAGTAACTTTATTGGTTCTGGCTATGTATTCTTCTTTTAATTCAAGCTGGTATCTAGAAGCAAAAAGAATTATGTATTCCCAAAGTATGTGTGTACACACATGCCCAGGCACTTGTGCAAACTCCAGTCTTTCTCAAACTAAATTATAATCACACAATTATTTATTGACAAAATTAACTATTGCAGAGCCACCAGAATGGTTGGAAAGGGCCCTGCCAATCACCTCATTCAACCACCTGCTTGAAAAGCAAGGCTACTGCCAACTCTACAGCAGGTCATCTGTGGCTCTTCCTAGCCAAGTCTTGAAAAACCTCAAAGGATGTATGTTACATCACCTCTCTGGATGATCTGTGCCAATGCTGCACTACTCTCCCATTAAAAATTTTTTCCCTATGTCCAAGATAAATCTCCCCAGCCACAATTTACAGCCCTGCCATATGAACTCAGAGGTCACATTTGAGAATCCAATAACTATCCTGCTTGTCTTTACTAGGCTGCCTCCAGTTTCAGCATGACTTTTTTGAACTGGGGAGCCAAAACCTGGGCATGATATTCCTAGAACAGCCTTCCCCAATACCTGAAGGAGCCAATAAGTTCCCTGAGTCTGATGGCCATGCTGCTACTAATGTTACCATCATGCCATTTGCCTCATTTGCCAGAGCACGCTGCTGGCTCATAATCAACCTGGCATTCACTGTAACTCATCCATCTCCTCTTCAGAAATGCAGCTCCTCAGTCAATTAATTTTCTCCATTTATACTATCCCATACGGCTATTCTGCCTCAATTCTTTGAAACTATGTTCAAGCAGATGGTACCAAATAAAAGAGGGTAATCTATATGAGAGAATCCCTCTCCAAAAATGGGAAGGGATGAAGAAGGTAAGAGCAAGCCAGTCTGTACAATGGACTAGTGTGTTTCTCACTCTGTTTCCAAGAAACATGTCACATCTCTTTCATGTTAATTTCCCCTTTGTGCCTCCTCCACATTCATAAAAAGGTCAGTTCTTTTAACTGTGGTCAAAGGAAGTCACTAATACTGCTTCAGATTCTCTTCTCTAAACGTATGACTAATATCACCTCTCTTTTCCAGATATTAATACAGAATTTAAACTACAACAATAATGTAACCTAAAATCAAAAGAGAATTTTTTTCTACAGTGAGCTTTTTCTGAAGCTGACAGTACGTTTTCTCTTACTAGCAAAGAGCTAAGCAATAATGTTAAGAATTCAAGCTCACTAAAACAAAAACATAAGCGCACATTTTCAAAGTCCTTGCTCTGTTACGTTTTTCAAAAGAAATCCTATACAATTTAATATTCTGTTTTCTAAGGAAGTAGCATGCATCCCACTAGAGAAAAAAGAAAAATTTACTTTAAGAGTTCTGTCTTCAGCCTCTGGTCATATGTTTCCTCTATGTTCTTCACAGCAACCTCTCGACGCCGAAGTGCATCATCAATAGCTTTATTTTTCTCTTCCTGAAGTTTCTGAGTGCTGAAATATCCAAAATATACAGACCAGTAATAGAATAGAATAGAACAGAATAGAATAGAATAGAATAGAATGACCATTTATAAAGTCAAACCTTTCTGTTTTCTTTTCTACAACAACATTTATAGACATCAAAGGGTAATGTGCTTACTTGGAATACTGTAGCAAGTTGAAATTATCATCAGAATCTGTCATTGTAGTTCATTAAGAACAAGGACATGTGACACAAACTAAATTGCCCTATTTAAAATCCAGTACTAATCAATTATGCAGCTCTTCTGGGTTAAGCCTGGCTAAGTTTCCAACACCAGAAACATTTCAGAGGAGAGAGTGATGAGCAGGCTATTCTATCAGCACCCTCTGCTGGGTTGATAAAAAAACCCAAGTTTTTGTTAGCAGGATACTCATTTTGCTCACAAACATTAAGTAGTATTTAAAATTTGACCAAAAATGGTTTAGTTATTTTTTTTATTTAACTAAAGAAAACTGATCTTATTAAGGACAAATAAAAAAACCCAACTCCAAAACATAGGACTAACAAGGCAAAAAATATCATATATGTGATTCATGAGCATTAGGGTTACATACTGTGTTCTTTGTTTGGGGGTTTGTTTTTTTTCTTAATTTAAGCACTTCAAAGCAAACATCTGGTTCCTTGCCCCCAAAGCAATGCTGAACCATTTTGGTTGGATGAAGCGGAATAGAAAAAGAACCAAACCCAGCCTTTGTGTGGGGTATCCTGCTAATGGAGACAGTGTACAACACTGCTCAAAATGTAAAATGTAACTGCTGGGATATATAATCTACTTCAACGCCATAGTAGCAGAAAGATCCTGAAGCACACTTTTCAGAAAAAGGACAGCAGCATCATTTACATACATCCTTCAGCAACTTACAGTTCAAATGCCTCCATCCGTTCCTTCAGTTCTGCCTCCCTGGTTCTTACGGCTTCGATATCTTTCAGCAGACTTTGTCTCTGAGAATACACTTCCTTTGCTTCTATCTGAATCACAAAATATTATCCCTAGTTTTACTTCACATTTTATACGTGTATTCACTGTTTAACACATTCAATTTACAAAGGATCTTCTTCTGAAACTGATCTTACTCCCATAAATATTAATTATAGAGTAATAATTTGAAATAACATCCAGAATCAATTGTATGTATCTTTTTGTGTTCCCTTTCTACTTTTACTCTGAGTAAAAATGTTTTAAATGGAGTCACTATTAGCTACCTGTAAACACTTCTCCTTTAAAAATAGCACTGATTAAAACTTATGTAAAAGGAAAAATTACAGAATAAATATGTTCAAACACTTGACTTTTTAAAATAAAAAATAGTTTTGTATGTTTTCACAAGACATAATTGAAAAAAACAAATACCAAACTCCCTGATGAAACATGATTTAAAACTGAAACTGAGTAAACCAACAGCCTTTCAGTTTTTGCAGTTTAACTTAGAGAACTCAAACAAATTGTAAAAGGGATTCTGTAAGTGATGAACATGTTAATACCAAAAGTCACCTATCCTCCTATTAATAAAAATGGCTTTTCTCATCCGTAAGCACAAAAGACATTATTTCTCTCCAAAGAAGTAATAAATGTCTAAGAAGAAAATTATGATTTTGCCATACAGGTGCTTATATCAAGTTTGAAAGCTGTGTGCATTTGACAGTGCTGAAAGATTCAGCTGCTGCTCCTGGCACAAAAAAGAGAGCAGTTTCTCAAGCCACATTTCCAAGTTATCACAGTGAAGGCTTAAATCATCTGACATCTTTAATGTAAATATACCTGGATTCTGCTAAAAGAATTCCTATGTATATGAAACATACAGTTCTCAGTGAGTTCAGAAGCTGACAAGAGAATTAAATATTCATACACAATACTTGACAGCTATGTTGATCTAGTAATTTGTTGTGGGTTTTTTTAATTATTGAATTAATTTCACACCCACAAAAGAAGACTGATAGCATAAAATAGATGGTTTTCTTGTAAGCTTCTAAGGACATAACCATGAAATAAATTCATGGCGTAGTGACAAATTGTTTAATAATATAATAATACAAAAATCTATTCAGAAACCTGTATGACTTCTTCGTTAACCAATACCACATGTTCTCAGGGAAAAAAAACAACACACAAACAAAACCATAAAACCACCACAACAAAGCAAAAATATGGTCAGCATTTGTGGACAACTGTTATTTGGATATGAAGGTCTACTGCAGACAGCAGGGGGGTAGCCAGGCAAACAGGCAACAGGAGAGCAAACAAACTATTCTCTCAAAGACTGAGTTAATAGAGACTGAGATAAGCAATTGAGAACTACATACAAATTACTGTGTGCTGTAGTAACAGTTACTACCCTGGCAAAACACCAAGAATTAACAGCCCAAAGGAGTAACTCATCAACACAAAAGTGTTCAAAGAAACAAACGGAGATGCCAGCATACAGTAAAGACAGTGGTTATTCAAAACATTCAACATATAAAGACAAACAGAAACGGTCTACCTGTACCCTACAGGCTATGTATTCCCTTTAGGTTTAAGTCCTTCTCAGCAGTTAAAAGGACTTAGATTTTAACTAAAAATTATGTTCAACTTTCCATTAAAAAAAAATAAAATCAGTGATCTGAATTCAGTAAAACTATTAAAACAGACTTTAAAGTCTTTATTACATTTAGATCCTTCAATCCCAGCTTCCAGAACTGTTCCTTTTCTAGCCACCTCTACTTTGGTATTTAACCATATTCATTCTTGCAGTCGCTAAATTAATTCCCCTATTTATGAGAACAAAAGTAAATTCAAAGTTTTTCCTAGTAAGACAAGTAAGATCTGAAGGTAAATCTCCCAAAGACAAAACAACAGTTTCACCAACTCACTGAATCACTTTTAATAGATAAAGAAAAAAATACTTGGAACTTTACCTCTTGTTGCTTTTGAAGTCTCTCAATAGCATTCTTTTCACGAGAAATCAAGGCTTCAGACTTTGCTTGATGTGTCTTCTCTAACTCGTGACGCAGCTCAGAGATTTCTTTCTGGGTCTGCACTTTCTCCTCCATTTTAATCTTTGCTACTTCAACTTCTTTAAAATGTTCCAGCTTTTACATAAAGGAGGAAGAGAGGGCTAAGCAGGGCCATTTTAGAATTGACAAAGACAATCCTCTCTAAGACAATTCTAAATTTCACCTAGAAAATCTAGTTAGGAAATGATAATTTGATAAAAATTAATTACTGTGATAAAAGTATCTTAGCAGGACATGCTACCTGCACATCTCACATAGTTTTCTTGTGTTCATCCAGCATCCCGAAGCAGATCTTACACAAAACTATTAGCTTTAGACAAGAGCAAAATAGAGACCTATAAAGAAAAACACATTGCAGATGTGATATTCTGCTTGGAATTAAGGAAAGGTCAGACTCTGTAATTCCTCTTCTGACACTGTCTCTATTCTTGCCCCTTTCCCAAAGAACCACTTTTGACTAGTGATTTAAGAAATGGTAGAAGCAGACTGATCCTGCATTGCTCAGCAACCACAGAAATTCATCTGGATGGCATAAAAAATGCAGAACAGGTAACTCCACATAAAGAGAGATTCCACAATCAGGTTACAATCTTGATTCACTGACTCCTAAGCACAATTGAAAATAAAAGTAAATGCACACAAACAGGAAGGTATGAATCTTGCAACTGCACAGAAGAATTGTAGGGAACATGACTCCACACAGTGTGTGAAATACGATGTATGCAAGAACAAATGGGATTATAAAGAATTACAATAAAAATTTGGATGACAAGGGAAAGCAAGCATACAAGATAAGAAACGGTAAGGAAAAATGAACAAAAGAATAAAAAGAGAATGACAGAAAAATTGTGAGACTGGAAAAAAGATTAAAGAGGAGGAAAAGCACAGTAGCAATGTCTAATCTAGGAATTTGGGTCTGTGGGCATAAATTTTATGAAAAATTAAGAAACAGTGAGACAGTACAGCACCACTTGTATACAGACAAAGTCGATTAGAAAAGTCTCACAGCAATTCACCCCACATTGTTAAGGAATTCAAGTAAAGTCAATTGAATTTAGAAGAGATTTATACCTGGTTAAGATTTCAATCTCCTTTCTTACAATTGGTTTGCCTAAACTGATACAAACTTAACAATACACAAATTATCATGTTTGACATGATAATTTGACACAGACAGAGACAGTTAGGGAATAAAGACTAAATGAAAAATGAAGCTAAAATACATTGGCAGTTTTAATTCTGCATCCTTCTACTTGTCTAGGTGAATAAATATGACTACATTGATTTCCTCAAACAGCTTATATGCAGCTGAGTGCCTTTAAAAGTGTGTCTAAGAATTCTGATTATTAGATTATATTTTTATATCCCAATAAACTACTGATCTTGAGAGAAACTAATGAAAAAAATTATTTAAATGAACTACAGTTAATTTTTTCTATCCAAATAAACAGTTGATTTTGACAGAAATTTATGGAAAAGAAAAAGATGCATTTAAATGAATTGCAGTATTTTCTTTCTGCTACATTTTTCAGACACAGGGATCATCAAAGGATTACATGACAAAATTCTAATTTTATTTCCAAAATGAAGGAAAACTCTCTAAAAGAGCTGTCTTCAATTAGAGGAAGAAAAAAAATCCACAGAAATAATTAATAGTACTGTCTGTTATGACTTTAGTGTTTCTGTGCAATGCTTTGAAATACTATGCAAATTCTCACCAGTATTAAAAACTAACTATCTGCCAAGCTACAGAGCAGCAAATCACAGCTCTCAGTTGCTATGCATTATATTGAAATCCAAGCTTTAAAATCATAACTAGTAAGGAAAATAATTAACATGACTAAGCAGAGTAAACATTTCTCCATAAAACAAAATAATCAAAAAGCAAATAAAATTTACCAAATTAAAACAACCAGAGTAAGTAAATGTTTTGTTAAAATCAACATCAGAATAAAAAGCTTAACATTCTATGCACATACAACAAAAAAGGAGGATTGCAAATATATGTTATATCATCAAATTAACAATTGATATTTGATTAACTTAACCTTTTGTGCTTGCTGTAACTATTAGATCTTTAATTTCAGTTTACTTTAAGTATTAAATGTTTGCAATGTACAGAGTCAAAATTAACAAATGTCTCCCTCAAATTCATTGACCAGAGTTATACCTTTTGATGCATTTCTGCTTGAAGCTGCTTCTCTATTTCTTTTCTATATTCATGAAGTTTTACTTCTAAAGATTCGTATTTCTGATGCTGGGGATAAGAGTCTGCAAACTGCTCATCAATCAGCTGAAGCTTCTCAGCTATAAAAAAGGCAACATATCCACCATAATTTAAAAAAAGTCACCACAGTTATCTTACCAAAAACTGTAGGAACCTGTCTCTCTGCAGGATGTTCCTCAGCTTATCTAAGTAGCACTATCCTAGAAACACTTGCGTCCTACAAAGGCAGAGGCAGAATGCCATTGATCTGCTTTATGCCACACAACACATATCTAGGAGGAGGCACTTAGCTGCTTAGGCACTATTTGTGGTATTACATAGTCATTCATCCTGTTTTACATGGGTGGACTAGAATTTTTAGCTTTTTTGTAGTAATATACTAACAACAGCATTCATATTATAATTCAAGAACTCCCAATCTATGTGTAACTTGCACTGAAACACTCACAGAAGGAGAAGTAAGGCATGCATTTACAATTACGTTTTCTAGAACATATTTCAACACATAACATTTACAGTCCATCTGTCATAACTAAATGTCCAAGAAAACACCTGAGCAAAAAAAAAACACCAAAAAACCCCCAACAAACAAACAAAAAAAACCCATAAAAAGAATCTTGCCTTTTTAAAGAAAATTTAGAAATTCCATGTACTAGTGATAGACATGATCTTCACTTATTATTACTTTAGGCTACTTTTGAATAAGTAATGAAAGCATACCATTCATGCAATACATAAATCCATACCATTTACCAATATGAAAGTATTTGGGGAGACTTGCTTGCACAGGCTGCACTTACCAAGAGATTCTCTATAAGGAGGCACTGAGGTTGTCTGAGTTTCTGTGTTATGAGTTTCCTTATTTAGATGATGCTCTGTAAGTCCAATTAAAATCTGCATAAGAAAACCTGGCAAGATCCAATAGTTCAATTAGTTCTCATTTCATAACAAAACTGAATTTGAGCCTGTAATTAACAAAGTAATTTTCAATTTACAAGAAAACCTACTTGATTTATAGAAAGAACAAGTATTTAAGTAAACTGTTGTGGTATTATTAGAAGCACAATTCAGTCCATCTCATTCAGCAAAAGCTGTCCTTTTGTAACTTTTCCTCCCATCCATGTCTCTGTCTCTTTCACTCCCAAGGTCAGTTGAGAGTGAAGATTATTACTACTGAATTATGAAGCTACTTTACGTTATACAGTATAGCTAGGCTTCATCGTAAGACATAAGAATTATTTCTTATTCAAAACAATGGAAACTAAATTAAACCTGTAACTAGTTTTGAAGTACATTCTGCAAGTTAATACAGTATTATAAACACAACCCAAAATCTGAGTTTGCCAAAGGGAGTGTGGAAAGCTTCCAAAGAGCATTATATTTAATACCTGATTACAGATTTTTCTCATGTTTCTAATGTTCAAGTCATTTATTTCATAAGTGAATGTTAACACCTAATCCACACCACAAATAGGAGTCAGATAATCCTGAAATATAACATTTATCACCCTAGTGTACTGCAAGCTTCAAAATCCAACTGAATCCATATTATTCCATACCAACATACACTAAAGAAATCTGAATTTTTATTGCTCACATCTTAACAAAAATGAAGCTAACACAATTATCCTTGTCTGCATCATATACAAACATCTTGTACCTTTATTTTCCTTCTGGGTTCCTGAAGTCTGTAAGAAAGAAAAGAAGTTTTAGCCAGTCTATTTTCATCACCGCTGTAATTTAAATTTATTTTCAAAATCAAAATAACTTTACCAGTGATTCGTAAAGACTGGACTTTGGACTGATCCTCATTAAGTGAAGAATGTCTTGCATAGTCCACAGCTTTGGGGAAAAGAAAGATCAGTGACAAAAGGTTAACTGATTGAAAATAATTTCAAATATGTAACAGGCCCTATTTTACAGTTGTAAATGTTTTCCATTGTAAGATCTATTCATCGTGTTGTAAAATCATTCAGAGGCTGCTGTTCTAGTACTACATTTACGTATCTCCCCTACTTAAGACATACAGCAGCCAGTAGGTAGCTTTATGATCAAGCTGAAGCTCTAAAACAGATAGTTTTGTTTCCTCCCCACCCTAGATACATGCCCTTGCTACTTTCCTTGCCTCTTTTCTTCATTTATCATACAAGCCAGATGAGCTCACTGACCTAAATGACAACTAACTGTTCACCAGGTCAAGAAATTAATTTTCAGTTAGAAACAACTTCACCCTATCACAGACTTACAGAGAAGAAACAAAGAAAAGGCAAGGACTGCCCTTTTCAGCCACACTTTGTAGTTAGAACACCTTCAACTGACCAGGAACCACAGTTTCAGGGCACTGAATGGCCAAACAAGCTTTTACCAGGATCAGTTCCCCAAACACTCTGCCACACAGCCAGACTGTGGCTACATCTTTCCAGAACAGCATTGTTACCTTATTGTCAATTTAAAGTATTCATGAAAATGGCCCTGAATAATGAAATGTTTTATGGAGATCATCAGAAGCTGTACTTGTGTTTGTACTTCCCTATCACAAAATTTTTTTCAGTTGTTGGAATATGACAACCCCCAGGAAGTAAAGCTTAGACATCATGGAAGAGGCAAAATACTGAACCTACCTTCTTCTTCTCCAATCCACTTTCTGGAAAGAAAACTGAAAGCGAATACTCATAGCCACATCTCTGTAGATGATCTGCCACCAGACTGTTGGAAGCTGTGATCAAAAGTGAACTGTCATCGCTTGGAACTGTCTGTGGCTGAAGTTCTCCGCTCAAAACTGGGTGCATTAGTTCATGGATGAGCTGGTTTCGGAGCTGTGTCTGATACAGAAAGAACACTGTATTCTCAGTTTACATGTTACTCAATGAGAGTTTTAATTTTTCAAAATCCAGGGTGAGTTTCATTTTACCTGTACAACCTACATAACAGAACAGGGCAGAGTAATTCTGGCAAAATCTGGAAGTGCACTTGGGACACCATGCCTTTCTTCAAAACACTCTTAACTGTGGATACAGTGATCCCTGACTTTCCCTCAAGATCTATGTAGGACTGAAAAGAAGTACTATTCTCAGTCAAGAGCTCACACAAACACCACTCTCCTACCCTCCAGCTTAATTTTCCAATCACTGCTTTCCTGTTTTCCTTCCCTCTTGTTTAAAGCCTGCCTGATGTGGCCTCAATTGCAGGTGTACCTGGAATCCTTACTAGTCCCCTTTCGAGTCTTATATCAAGAAGCTGCTGATGCCATCACAAATGGAGATCAGAAAATAAACAGAAAATTCAATATCTTTAATATCAATTATTTTGTAGGAAAGTAAAAGGGTACTAATCAAACAAGCTTAGAGGCACTAATAATAATTAAATGGATTTTTTCCTTACATATTTGCATTCTATGAGTTAAAACAGAGAAAAAAGTAACCTAAAATCAGAAAATCTCCCCCGTGTAAAAGGAGAAAATAATAATTTTGATTATATAGTTATACAAATTGTTTATAGCATTCTAAAAGACCACGAAAGAAACAGAGTTTTAAGCTTTCAAAAGCAGGTACGCAACCGTGACACAAAAAATAATACATCAGTGGAGAGAGCGAGACATTTGTATTCGGCGTGGCTTTCACCGCTCTCAGTGTTAAGCAGTACAGCCGATCACAGGTAGCACACAAAGCACACCTTAAGTGTGTCCAGCACGCCTCGGCTCTTAAAAGTCTGATACAGTCTTTTCCGGAGCTCCTCTTGAGACAGCGCCTCCCTTTGAACCGAAGCCATCCTGCCCTACAACACCGGGGGGGGGGGGAGAAAAAGGGGCATTACTGACTCCCAGCTCGACCCACGGCCAGCGAAAGGCCGAGCGCCGCCCCAGCCTCCCCCTCGGGCTTTCCCGGGGCAGCCTCCCCCTACCCGCGGGGAGCGGGGCCGGGGAGCACCACCCGGCTCGTCCCGGTACGGCCGGGCTGTGGCGCAGGTCGCGGCGCGGCCCCGGCGGCCGCTGTGCCGTCACGGAGGCGCCGGATGGGGCGGGCGGAGCGCGGCGCTTCCGGGCGGCCGCGGGCAGCAGGGAGGGATCATCGCGGAGAGGGGTGAGCGGCGGGGCCGGGCGGGACCCTGCGGTCCTTCCCCTGGGGGGCGGCGGGACGGCTCATCCCTGCCGGGTAACTGCGGAGTGCCCGGGGATGGGGCCGCGGGACTGCCCCACGGCCGCCGTGTGCGAGGGAGGACGGCGACCCTTCCCCTTCCTGCTGCCTGTGAGCAGGGTCCGGGGAGAGACAGGCGAGGAGGTTCCGCGTTACTGCGTGGAATCGCCGCGTCCAGGTGGCTGAGGGGGCTGTCAGGGGGTAAATCATCGGTGAGCGGTGCAGGAGGCGTTTGTAGGTACCAGTAAATAGGTTCACTTCCAGGAGATGTTTAGCTTTCTAAGGATATTTTCCCCCCTCCCCCCCGAATCACAGAACAGGGAAGGTCGGAAGGGGCCACAGTGGATCATCTAGTCCAATCTCCCTGAAGAGGCGGGGTCATCCCAGAGCATGTGGCACAGGTTTGCATCCACAGTATTCTTGAATATCTCCAGTGAGGAAGACTCCACAACCTCTCTGGGCAATCTGTTCAGTGCACGGTCACCCACACAGTAAAGAAGTTCTTCCTAGTGTTCAGGTGGAACTTCCTGTGCATCAGCTTCTGCCTGTTGCCTCATGTCCTGGTAGCTGGCACTACTGGCTCCATCCTTTTGATATGCACACCTAAGTGTTTATCTCTCTTCAGCCTCTGGTAAATACAAACAGGAAGCATGTTGGCTAATTTTTAGGATCACTTCTACACGGACTCATATAGAGAGTCATCAGCATGTCTGGTTTTTTTTTGGTAAGGAGCACTATTTTGAAGAATGTCTGGAAGTTTCTACTTCGTGATAGTTGGTCATCATGATAATCCCATATTTGAAATGGAATTTCTGCCTCCTGGAAAAGTAGAGTCTAAGGTATGGGTTTTTTCCCTGTGACATTCCTATGATGTAATTACAGTGCATTTTATTGTATAGTTTTACAGTGTATTAGAAACACAACCAGCATGTTATTAGAAGTAGTATCTACTGTTTTCTGTTTGGTTTTGTGTTTGTTTTTTTTTTACCAGAAACTTTGTCATAGGGAGTAGAACTCTGGAGTTCTCAAGTCTCTTAAAAATCCTTGTCAGATCATACTAGTTCTTCATAAAACACATCTTCCTTAAATATTTGCTGCTATATGTTATAGAATATATATCCTAGTTGTGCTTTGGTAATTTTTCTTAGTGTGTAGAGGTTTTATAATAGCTGTTCATTATTTAATGCTACTTAATTTTAAGGCATTTGTATACAGTAATAAGGTAATGTAAGGAACATAAATTTGAAAGCTCCTTCATTTTTTATGCTATAAAATATTTTTTAACCATCTTCACTAGTCATACTTGCTTTTAAGTAAGAAAAGCTTAAAACTTGTATTGATAAATAAAGACTGAAAACATCAGAAATGTAATCAGTAGTGTTTCCAGTGGGAAAAGAACAAATCTATGCACAGTGATATTACATGAAAGAAAAAACAGACTTCAGAATAAAAGTACGTGAATCTGTGATTTTATCTAAAAGTGGACGTGTGTACTGTCACTGATTTGAACTGCATGGCATCATCTGTATTTTGAGCTAGTGTCCCATAAAAGATCATAAATAAGGCTACTCAGACTAGACTTAGTGGGAGGGTGTGTCAGATTGTGGAAAAATTCATTTTCTGCATTCTGCTAATGGAAATAACTTGGCTCAGGTAAGCTTCTTGTCTGACTGAGCTTGGAGTACTAATTTTGGTGCTAAGAATCTAAACTTGATGTGCATTGAAGGAGAACGAGTAGACATTGATATGTTTTGGCAACTATTACGCCTGTTTCTGAGACATGCCACTGCAGTGAATTCAGTGGCACTGCACAGCCCCCTAAGGCAAGAGGTTTGCATAATGTATGTGATAAATCAGCAGAAGCTTTTGCCCCTTTAACTTTGCTACCTAGTCTCTTCCTCAGTGTGGCTTAGTGGAACTTGCAAAGCTGTTAATGGTCTGAGCCATACCTGATTTGTGGGAAAAACTGAGGTGACGATGGCAGTAACAGCATCCCTGTATTATGAGAAACAGTGCAAGACTACTTATTTTTCCAGTCTAATAAAAGCTTATAGTATCATTTTGTTCTGTATCTCTTCTTGGCAGATGTCTTCTGGTGTTCTAGGTCTTTGCCTACACAGCTCTTTAGTGATAGGGCCAAACGCTGATCACTCTCATGAAGGCCACTGATGTTTATCATAGGAAGAGGTGCAATTTACTTCTGTAAGCACAAATTTAATACTAGTTGCAGGATGTTTTTCTGCACTAGGTTTTAGGAAAAAGAAGACCTCCAAAACAATAAAACAATCCTGTTTCTAAGTAAATAACATGAAAAGAACAGAATCTTTAGGTGATGTTATCAGTACACCTGTCCTCTGTACATCTCTGCTTTCCCCATGTGTCCCCCTGATTTTACACATTGTAATCTATTGTTTAATTTCTGCCAAATTTGGCAGAAACATTACAGTCCAAAAACTGCTGCATTGGTGTAAATGTAGCAAAAATAGGTGTCTCAAAGGAAGAGAAAAATACATGTTAGGGCCTCTCTTGTGGAATGAGTTAGCAGTGGGAGTTTACCCATTGGTAAACAAAAGAATTCATGCTTGAATTCATGCCTGAGCGATAAATATACGTTTTATTGGTTCTGCTGCTCTCAAGACTGGTTTTGTGATGACCAGTGTTTTTGTGATATTATGATGACCCTTTTTCTTCCTTGAATCATGACAATATATACTCATTTAATTTAATTACAGGATGGCACACGTGGCAGAAAAGCAAGGTATATGTATCTTTATGTAACTTGAGCACTGGTTGTTTAGCAATTTGAGCAAATTATTGTTTATATTTCACTCTTTTCACTGAATTACTAATCCTCTGTCTTCTGGGAATACCTTAGGATGATCATCGTCATCTCAACCAGTTCATTGCCCATGCTGCTCTTGACCTAGTGGATGAGAACATGTGGCTTTCTAACAACATGTATCTGAAGACTGTGGACAAGTTTAACGAATGGTTTGTTTCTGCTTTTGTCACAGCTGGACATATCCTTTCCTATTCTCTTTCCTTATATTTATGTAGGAAAAGCCTTTCGCCAGAAAGACATAAAATGAGTTTGGAGCAGATTTTCACTGTTGTTGTTAGAGAGAGTCACCAGCTTCAGGAAGAACTGTGTTGGGAGGCACAGCAGCTGTTTCAAACTGGGAACAATTGGAAAGGTGGATTTTTACTTTTGGAGGAGCTGAAATAGCCTAATGAAATGTGGAGCTCACATGGACTAGAGGAAAGAAGAGGGTCTAAGCAAGCTTATATGATTCTCTGTTCCAACCCCTTTGATTGTGCTAGAGAGGAGAGGTGGGGAGGAACGTGCTTGGTGTCAATCACACCAGTCGTGAAAACGCAGTGTCAAGGTTTGATCTTATGTACAGGTAGTCCTGGCAGTGTTTGTGGAGAAACATTTGTTATACATAGCAAATAACACTGAATGTAATTTTAACCTTAGGGGTTTATGGCAAAGGTTCAGAGAGCGTCATCCACATTCAGAAATATATACTTCTTTAAATGTTTCCTCCTGTGAGTCACTGCTATTTCATGTACAGCTAAACATATATGCAGAATTAGGTGTAAATGCTTATCTCAGGATATGTTACATATCTCTTTTCTTCTTGAAAGTTCTATTTTCCTTAATTGCTGTACATATGAGATTTATAATGCTTCATGATGTAAGGCTAGAAGATGGAATTAAGAACTTCTTTAATGATGTATATGAGTTGTATATAAAGGTAAGAACCCAATTCTTATGGTCTTGCTGCAGTACTTTTAAGCGTGTTCTGCTGTACATGGTCAGGCACACGTGTTTTAGCATGTTTTCTCATGGGGGCCTGTATAATTGGAGAAGAACCTGTCCACATCAGCCAGTGTTGGTAACATGTGACACAAAGCCTTTGTTTTGCATTAAACAGAGTAGATTTTTCTAAATTGTTATAAACTGTGCTCTTTCAGAATTTACTCTTCATTTTAGTCCAGTGGTTTTTTCACAGAATAGAATGGTTTGGGTTGGAAGGGACCTTAAAAATCATCTCGTTCCAACCCCCTGCTATGGCAGGGACACCTTCCACAAGACCAGGTTGCTCAAAGCCCCACACAACCTGACCTTGAACGGTTCCAGGTATGGGGCATCCACAGCTTCTCTGGGCAATAGAGAAGTTGGGAGGCAACTTCTTTTGAGGCATTTTGAGGCAGTATTGTGTCATTAATGGTGATAAAAAAGGAAAGGACTGTTCTACAAAGCCTGGTGGCAGTGCTTCGGTCTCAGAACACGTAGCCCTGTTCTCACATCCCAGTGTATTTCCACTAGATGGGGTAACGGCAAAGTGTCATGGGAAGCATCACAATCTCAGCCTCCTGCAGGCACTCAAAATGATGCTAATTTCCAAAAGAGAAATTTCAACTGGTGGTGTGATGCATTTGTTCTGAGGAGCTGGTTCTAGATGGCTCTGCACATATATGGGGAGAATGCAAGGGCCTGGAAAGAAAGAACTGTTTAGGAGTTGTGTGCTCTTCGTGGTACTAAATAGGCCAAAAGCTAGTAGTAGATTTCAACTAAGTGACATTTTTCAGGGCTGTATTTCTGCTTATTGATAAGTTTTTCTTCTTTCCTCAGTTTGCAATGAATCCATTTTATGAACTCAATTCTCCTATTCGATCCACTGCCTTTGAAAGGAAAGTCCAGTTCCTTGGGAAGAAACACCTTTTAAGCTGAATAAATCAATTTGCTGAGTGTTTTTTCCATATTTTCCTGTTTGAACTGTTATTCTTCTAGTTTGAACAGTTTGAACTGTTATTCTTCTGGTTAGTTCCCTGCATGTTTGAGATTCATCTTCTGAAGACTGACAAATTGAGTGCTGAAGGAACTTTTTCTTTTTGATGGTACAGATAAGAACAGCCAAACTTCTCTGGTTAAAATATGTTATCTTAAGAAGTTTCCTTTTATGTGGTATGAAGAAGAAGTTTTAAAATGTCAGAGGCTGCACAGGTACAAACTAAGAGATTTGGGTGTCAATATGCAAAGTGTAAGCCTCTTACACAGGGTAGGAGGAAATCAGATCTACATGCAAAAGATGTCTCCAGCTATCTGAATTAATATGAGTAAATGAGAATTCTTGACTGGAAAACAGTGTGGTTAATTTTGTTATAAACTTTGCTACTTTCATTCCTTTGCTAGAAAATTTACTCTGCAGACTAACCAGACTAACCTTACACTTTGTGATAGTAAATCAGGTCTCTATTTATTAATGTATAATTTTGTGTATATAAAGTGCTCAATAAAAATAAATCAGGATAGACAGAAAAGCTGTCTCCGGTATTTCAAGAAGCTTTGAGAAAAAAACTTGAAGTTTAAAAGCTTATAATTTCCAATTTACCATATGTTTAGTGCAATACATGTTTAGCTGCAGTATTGCACCAATGAAGTGGACCAGAAGAGCCATGTCTGCCCTGACATTAATTCTAATTCATGCACAAAACCCCCCAAACTAAATTTACATGTTTAAACAAACTCCTTTCCATTACTTTTCAAGTGCTGAAAACTTTCTTTTTGCAAATATATTTAGAGTAGGATCTCTGAACCATGAAACTCCATTTGTTGAAGTTTCAGAAAGGCATTATTTGGCCTGTCTGGCTCCTATTTCATTATAAAACATGTTAGGGACCCTTTTGCAAAACTTACCATCATTCCAAAACGGTAATTTTTAATATGACATATATGTACCTAATATTTTGTTTAGGCTTACAATCCTTTAAGTATCCTGTTCCTTTCTGCAATAAATCTGTATAAGCTATCTTCTGGTACTTTTTTTTTTAAATGTCTGAAAAGTAATTTCCAAAGGAAGTGGCATGGTGTTCTAAGAAGTACATATTGCAGAGTCTGTATAATTAAAGGGACTACATACACGTGCTATAAATGTACAGTCAGTTATTATTTCTACACTTACTGCTACACTGTCACTGTAAAATATACCATGAGGAAAAAAAGAACATGATATAAAGATTGCAGTATTTACCTTAAATAAAACACAGAATGATGCAGTATGTATGTGTGTTGAGTATACTTGAAGTGATGTAGAAAAAAACCAGGTAACCACAGTAACATTACCTGGTGGGGTGGCAGGTGAAGATGGGAATACTTGTCTTAGCAATGTTATTTCATACAAACTGTATTTTGGTAATATCATATAATTTTATATAAGTCAACTTATTTTTTTTCTATATATATGAACTCAAGAGAAGCACACTTGAGGTAGAGCATTCTTGCTCATATGATAAGGAGCAGCTGTTGTTTTCTGCCTCCTCCCCAGTAGGTTCTTCCAGCTGGTTGTAAAAATACTAACAGTTAAGACTCACTGAAGAAGTATTTAAGTTAAATAATCACATACACAGCAGTAAAAAACGGCTTGGCAAGAATGGAGGATTAGTGCTAACAGTTTCCATCGCTTAGAGAAACTGTGCATTTTTTAATAACTTTATCCATTGCTGCAGTAGGACATTAAGTAAAATGAAAGCATTTTTTTTCTTGCCTGATCTCTGGAGGCAGTTAGCCAAATGGTGCCTGTTCTTATGCCCTCGATATATCTTTCCCTCTTTCTTCTGAATATAGAAATTGTAGATGGGAAATGCAGTCTCAGGTCCATCTAGGCTTTATGAAAACAGACTGTTAGTGACCACAGGAATGGGAGAATTATGTCCTAACACTTCATTTATCATTATAGAGTTTGTGGTTGAGGAGCACTGCCTTGTGACAGAACTGTCCAGGGCCTTGGCCAGGTAGCTCCAAGTTCTCTGTGCATGGAGGAACACCTGTTTATGCTTTCTACAAGGTTCTATTACTGTTTAGGTAACCTGTCACGTGACTTAAAGGAAGATCCGTTCGAGGTACAGAGGAAGCAGCCTGGTTCTGGCAGCAGTCTTATGCTAAGCATTGATACAGTTTGCTGTGACAGGAGCTGCCCTGGCTAGTTTCTTCTGCCCCTTCCCATTCTCCTGTCTGTTCTAACAAGCATAGCTTTCAGCAGTCCCACCAATCTGCCACAACACTATTTTTTGCTCCTCATTTTCAAGGACATCTGGATCTTTGCATACATGTTATGCAGTATGTTCTCACTCTACAGAACTCTAAATAACTGCTAACAGGACCCCATGTTATTTGAAGTACATCAGCACTTGAAACAAAACAGTGAATTGAAACATAAGTCACAAATGCATACCTTACATCCAAATGGAATGATACTAAGCTTTTACAAAGTACAGAAATGAATGGTTGTTATTAAGCATTATATTTTTTTTTTTGTACCTATAACTGCTTGTTATAAGACTTTTGCTTCTGTAAGTACTCAGTAGTCTCCCTGTGAGACCAATTCCTGACCTCAACATAATCCCTACACTGTCTTATTTACTACAGCCACTTTCGTGATTAGTGTACGTTGTGGTACAACAGCTCCCAGGGCATGAGTAATACACTTCTATGGGATTATGTTTTATTTAACTTTATTAAACCTAATTCTCAGATGGAGGCTTGGTAACCATGATGTTACATGGAAAGGGGACAGATGGGAAGACACAGATGGATGCCTTGGCACAAGAAAGACCACAATGGTTCTCATCGTTCAAATAAAATTGCTAAAAGGAAAAAATTAAGGATATCTATAGTCACATACTCTAGTCACAGTATCTTCAGCTCCTGTTTTGTTTCAACCTTAATCTCTGCTAAAATGAATGTTAAAGGAAGCTTTAAGTAGTAAGGTAGTAGTTTTACAACAATTTCATGTCACTAGCTTAGTAGCCCTTAATGCAAACAACCTTCATTTCTAAAGCTTTTTGCTCTCTCATCCTAAGATTAGGAACCATTTAGCTACGATTTCCTTCACAGATCTCTTGATTCATTGACTAGAAATTAAACATAACAGAAGTAGCAGTTCAACTTATATTTAGCTGCTCAGTGACTGAAGCTTAAAACACAGTTCTGTTGCTGTATATGCAGGACTGCAAGAATGAATCAGCCTTAGAAATGCACAAAAGGTAAAAAGATGTCACTTTTAAGCAGGAGTAGCAGATCTACAGAGTAAAGTTGCCCTAGACAGGTTCAAGCAAGAATACAATGCATTCAGAAAAGTGTACTAAGAGCGACAAAGAGGGTTTGTTTTTGCAAGCTTTACTTCCAAATAAGTACACCTGGTACAGACTGATCAGATACTTCAAGAGAAACTGCTTGCTGGTATCGTATTCTCAATAAAGGCTTTTCTACTGGAACAAAAAAGTTGCTGCAGAGAAGGCAGTTGTTTGATGAATAACATGGCCTGTCTTACAGGCCTCAGACTTCCTTTTTCAGTCCACAAGATGTGTACATGTGTGCCTGTTAGCAGTCAGATTACAGATGGAAGCAGTAGTGCACTATCAGTTTTGCTACTGCAAGGACAGTGGTTACTGTGAGGGCCAGTACTGAACAATTTCTCATACACGTATTCTACCACAGACTGCAACTGAAAGCCTCAAATTACCTTCTGTGGTTTTGTCTGCATGACTGCAAAAAAGAGTCCATTAAATATAGAATTTGCTCTTGTTCATCATTATGAAATGAGTTCAGTAATATAAAAGGTATTATCTTAAATGTACAAGTCCATATCCTAAAACAGTAATTTAAGTAAGGGTCAAATTCAGCTCAAACACTATCTATAGTTATATACTTGTATTAGGCTGAAAGCTGTCAAAATCTACTCTAGAGTCAAGAGCTTCCTGAGTTCTCTACATATTGCCAATCCTTAGTTTCACAGTGCAGGTTATTACTGGTCAACACATTCATAGCTCAGGTTAACAGGAACAAGAGCTTTGGAACTTGAAGGGTGTACACTAAAAATTTTCCTAAAAAATGTCATAATGTGGATCCTTTCAAGTGCTGTTAAAGCTGACTGAATAAAGCATTTCTTTTTCAAAAAATGGTTGGTTATACTTAAGTTGCTCAGTTTTTCACCTTATTGATCAGAAACATGCTAGAATGGACTTAAGGCAAAGACACGTTAGCTGTAAAAATCATCAGTATTTTGAATTAAACTGCTGGAAAAATTAGTGCAGCATTAGAAGAGTAAATGAAAAGAAAATGGACATTAAATATGTAGGAAATTTATTTCCTACTTAAAAACCTACACAAATTACAGTAACATTAGGTAATTAGAAGACCTAGAGGTAATTTATGTTAACTTATAATATTTAGAGATGAAGTACCACTCACAGCAAAAGGAATGTAGTGAGACTGAAGTTTAATATCTAGCATTGTTAAGAAACTGATGTCTAATGAAACAAAAGTGGAATGCTGATTTCATAAAAATATACACATATAAAAGTATCTTTGTGCCTGAATTCCAGAACAGTTTCTCCAAAGTAGTGCTTCCAGAACTTTCAAGTTTTAATTATATTCAAAAGTATTTATCATTTGAATAAAGTTGGCAAATTACATTCTTATGGTTTTACTTGACATCTTCCTAAACAGAAAGTGTCACTAATTCAGTAACGGGTCACTCATGAAGGGAGATTTTTTTTTTCTCCCCCATGAAAGCAGCAGAATATTACAATTTTAATATTAGAGTGAAACCCATTTGTTATTTTATCTAGTACACCTTCCCCATTCATTTATAGAGCAAGCTAGTCAACAGTAATTTGGCAGAAAGAAATTTAAGTCAACAACAAGATGAACTGGGTTTCGGTTTCCGATGAAGGTTTACTGTATCTGTTTGAATAAAGTGAT